CACCTTCTACTTCCACTTACTGGCCACTTTATTAGAAACACCTACCTTCTACTTCCACTTACTGGCCACTTTAGTAGAAACACCCACCTTCTACTTCCACTTACTGGCCACTTTATTAGAAACATCTACCTTCTACTTCCACTTACTGGCCACTTTATTAGAAACATCTACCTTCTCCTTTCACTAACTGGCCACTTTATTAGAAACACCCACCTTCCACTTCCACTTACTGGCCACTTTATTAGAAACACTTCCATTTGCTGGCCAATTTTTTGGAAACATCTACCTTATAGCTCCACCACTGATAAAACACAGGAGGAAGAATAACAGAAATTGTACATCTACATCTCTAACTGAACACCAGCAGGGTGGAACTACAATAGAGGGGTTTCTGATAAAGTGGCCGGGGAGCGTACACAGTGTGTTATAATTAAATGTATATTTAGTAAAATTAGAAGCAAAATCATAATTACTCCCCACATAAATAGATTTAAACTGATTTTTTTTCTCTTCCTCTTTTCTTCAAGGACACACCCGGTCATCTGTGCTAATGTGTCCATTACCCTGGATCCACCAATCATATCGCAGAACCACTTCCACTGCTCCGCCCCCTACGGGCTCAACATGCCTATTGCCAACGCAGTCGTGTGTGTCAACGTAACCAAGGTTTCTGTGGGAACCATACGTGGTGAGTGTGTGACAGCACTGACACTCCATACTCTACTGGAGCTGGATTAGTTTAATCTGGGGAGGTGCTGTAATCTGAGTGATTAAAGATCCATGATTTTAATCCAGTATGAATCTGCTCTGCCTGCTGTGGCCACAGTCACACTGTATGACCTTCAGAGTGGTCAGATCTCTGTACTGTTCACACCACACAACTCGCTCTCTTGTAATCGAGAATCCTGATGTTGTGTTTTACTCACTGCCTGACTGATCAGCGTGAGGAGGTCTGATGATGCATGATGGTTCATCAGGAAGAATCTCCGAAGAGTCTGTCCACACGACCTTTTTGTCATGAAACACGTGAAGTGACGCGGGCGGTGATGCGGGCGGTGACGCGGGCGGTGATGCGGTACTATGCGCAAGACGAGAATTTTTCTCCCACAAAAGGACGTCAGCAAGAAGCGAGCGATCTGAGTTGATTCAGAGCAAAAGAGCCAGAGGAAAAGAAAAGCATATGGGGAAATGAGCGAATGGTTGATGTTGTACAGGTCCAGATATTTAGCCTACTTCATCTCTTCCAGGCGTCTGTGAGGGGTCAGCGAGTCTCTCGGATGGCGTTTCTCAGCGATCTCCAAAAACTGCTGGGTGCAGCATCAGGGCTAAAATAGTGTCGTCTGAACTCGGCAGAAGTAATAATTCTGGAGTGAATTCTCTTCTATAACTGGCTGAACTCCGGTGTTTTTGACCACTTTGACCGGTCACTAAAAGCATGTACTATGATTATGTACCATCGTTTCGAATTGTTGTTGATGTCCAGTGTTGTATTTTTGGCATCAAATGCTGACGTAAACGTCCCTACAGTAATGTTTTGATCTGGGCAGTTTGGGATGATATGGGGAAAGATCTGTTGTCGCGTGTGAATCATCCAATCAAATCACACACAGGTTACTTTACTGGACCCTCTGATCATACTAATCCAGCTCCAATAGGGCCACTTTCCCATATTTCCATTGATTATTGCTACACTTGAATATTGTCTACATTAACTTTATTTAACTGGTAAAGAGACTAAAGACATCCGCAGGTAATATTTAATAATCTGTGCGTTGTAGAGACGTTCACTGGTAAATCTTTGTGTTCATTTGTTGATCTCTGATCTGTAGAGATGCTGATCTGTTAATCTCTGTGTTTGTATGTTAATCTGTGTTTTGTAAAGGTGTTAATTGGTTAATATCTGCGGTAATCCGTTTCTTTATTTAGATGTGTGTCTATTTTAATGATCAGTTGATCAGTGTGTGTGTCTGTGTGTGCGTGTGTGTAGCTCCTCTCAGTGCTAATGTGTCTATTAATCTGGAGCTGGACTCCGGCCCCCGGCCCCGCCTCCTACTCTCCCCCAAATCCAACACCTCCACCTGGAGCTCCACAGTCAGCAGCATCTGCAGCACCCACTCCATCACCATACCGGTCAGTCTGCTAACATCTGCACTGTAGAGCTGTAAAGCTAGAATCTGTTAATATCTGAGCTGTAAAGGTGTTAATCTGTTAATATCTGAGCTGTAAAGGTGTTAATTTGTTAATATCTGAGCTGTAAAGGTGTTAATCTGTTAATATCTGAGCTGTAAAGGTGTTAATCTGTTAATATCTGAGCTGTAAAGGTGTTAATTTGTTCATATCTGAGCTGTAAAGGTGTTAATCTGCTAACATCTGCACTGTACATCTGTTAATCTGTTAATATCTGATAATCTGTGCATTGTCGAGGTGTTCACTGGTAAATCTTCATGTTCTTTTGTTAATCTCTGTTCTGAAGATCGTTGTATTATTATGTTAATCTGTG